CACTCAGATAAACACTTGTTTATGTCAGCGCCACGTAGACAACACATCGCTATTCATTCACGCACAGACGGACGCCCTATTGTGATCTGCACGCCAATTACCCACTCAATGTAGGTCACATATGGTTTTGTAGGCCCACCTGAAGTAAACACACCCCAGCCAACTGCAATACGGGACCGGTGTTAATAGGAGTTTTTACGGATTGGGCTGGGGAGCGCACAGGTGACGAGGTCAAGTAGTTGTATGCAAAAGAGAAGCCATTGTTCATACGCGGTTGTACTTTGAATGATTGAGAAATAGTTGCGCTAGCCCCTATTTCTAACGCCTAACCCCAACCCAAACATTATTGTGTCCATCAGGTGGGGTTACGTAACCGCATCTTACTCACTCCTGCCTCGAGTACAGATTAATCAGCTTTCATAGGTCTCTGATTTCCGTGTGTAGTTAAAGGTGAGCCCGCATCTTCAACACCCAAAATACTGCCTGATTTCTGTGAAATCGTGTGGAGACTGAATTTTAAACGCCGTTTGGACTAGACAAAAGACACGTCTGTACAACTAATTTCGACCTTCCTTCCTGTGCTGGTTATAAAACAGATTATTGCTTCTATTTGAGAAAAATCGACTTTTTAAAAATGACTTATGTGAAGTCTGTCGTGGTCGACCACAAAGAGGGATGTAACCTGAACATTTTGGGGAGTATGAAAAAACAGCAACCTAATATTACCGACTACTTACTGTGTCCTCTGCAATGCAATGCATATTTACTTATATTGCCGGCGAAACAAGACTGATTATTCCTAATTTCTGTACTCGGCTAGATCGCAATTGGTAGCCCGGAATGGGAAGCGGACGGCTACCTTTACTCTAATCCTAACCTTAACCCTAATCCTAACGGCAACCCTAACCATAACCCTAGCCAAAATCATAAACGTAACCGCAGCCCTTAGAAATAGCCGTAACTGAGAAGCCTAACCTATTCGTACGCTCAAACCCTAACCATAGCCCGAAAACCTAAGCCTAAAGGCATAACTCTAACCAGAAAATCGGAAACCATTAACCGGTACCCTAATCCTAACCTCAAACGTAAAACGGAAGCCAAATGTGTCAGATGTGATTATGGAGCCCCACAAAATACCCCCGGTAAACAAACCCCCCAGCCGCCTGTAATGCGAGTCCGGGCTACCAACTGGGATCTAGCCCTGTTCTCAGTCAGTATGCGATGCAAATTGTTGCAAAGTCGTAATAGTCGTCAAAAGTCGCATTTATAGCACCCGCATTAGTAACAGATTTCGCGGGTAGTCCTTAAGCGTCTTTTTGAGTAATTTTAGAAGAAGGACTTCTAGTGACGACCTCAGAGTAACGTGCACTCCTCCTCACACTTCGCGTCACAAATGTGAATTTGCTATCGATCAAGACAAATACCCAATATCCATGAGAAAATTTCGTCATCGGACGAATTGCAAATTTTCCTGAATGGATGACCACGGGTGGCCTGAAGGCAGAAGTTCTAATAGTGCCCTATTTCTATTGACAGTATTAGGTCCATTGTGTTTTGGTACTTAGAACCGCCGCATGCCGTCACGATCCAGCTAGTTATAATCTGGTTTTGTGATCTAGTTAAAGACAAATTTGTTTGGGTGAGTTGGAGCTATTTACGCCGAGGTTGTAGAGTAGGTATTTTGCCTTCGAGTCTAGCCCATGCAGTCATAGTTTTAAAAAACCACTTCTTGTTTTCCGAATATTGAGCTCGATGCACTTTTAAAGCACCATTATGTAACACAAATTAAATAGTTTTTATTGTTAATCAGCTAGTGCATTATAAATATCAATGGTGGCATTGCAATTCGGGTTGCACCGAGCTATAATATCAGCACATAGTTTACCGTGCTTTCAACGTGAACATCTCGTTTTTACTGTTGCTTTTGTGCTACTGAAACCACTTTAGTACAAATGGTAGGTAAGTGAAGTAACCTCCTACGATGGAGATGGAAGAGTTTCGAAAACGAGACTCAAGCACTATTAGGCGAAAGAGCCAAACGCTAGAAAAGCCGGCGAAATGTAATTGTAGAATTAAACTCAGTAGTTAAAAACCCTACAGAGTTTAAACATATAAGATGTCAAAAAATTCAATATAGCTTGCGGAGAGATTCTACGAAAGAGTTAGTTTGTTGCTGAATAAATATACCGCGAATTAAAGGTTTATGGAATAAGGAACTACTTAAGTCCCCCTTTAGAAGTAGTTTTAAATGGTCAGAGAACAGATAAAGGCCTTAAGGTCGAGTAACTTGCGTTACTACGAGCAATTCAAACGCCGTTAAGCGACGTCACTTCAGTGAGAATGAAGAAGTTGGCCCAGTTCCGCAAATCGTAACAGTCGGAAAATCAGGTTGTACGATCGAGCAAAAATTATGCCCGCAGGAAAATGGCACCCAAGTCATGGATAACTCTAAAATTTTGAGAATTCTGCTCGGATACGGATTTAACCAAGAGCGGACAGTAGGATTCATTTGCACTAAAAATTCTGCGTCGGATTATTAATTGTTTACTGTCGATTTATAACATGGATAACGCGTAATGCGTATAAACTATGCGAAAGCAGTTAGGTCCAACCGCTGACTGTATTCCTGCTGTCCAGCTAGTGAAAAATGTCATCAAAAGGGGATATGTAAACACCATCCGGATGAAACGTCGGCAATACAATAACGATTTTTAATAACAACATAAATGCCGAGAACCTAGTTATTACCATAATTCTCTTGCATTCCAAAAACCTACGGTTTTTCCGAACACTATAGAAGATGGCCTCATAATAAGTGAAAAAATAAGAACAACAGGAGGACGAAAGTTGGTCCATGATTTCTTCGAAAATTAAGAAGGCGAGTGGTTTGGTGAGACGTTAAGTTCAAAACTACCCTGGCTAAACGTGACAATTTTTTCATTAAGATACATAATAATTTCCTCTCAGAATAACTGAGGAAATAGTAATCTGCGAGAAGTCTCTACACTTTAAGGACCCGAATATTTCAAACACGATCAAACGACGATTACGACCCATCAACTGAAAGATGTATAATACACATAAACTTATAGTTAACAGCCCATTGAAAAGTACTTCAGCTAAAGGGGCCAAAGGCTGCTTTGATAGTCCATGTCGCCCTTGCCTGTTTGTATGAATTTACATGTACTTTTAGACGCAAGTGAAGCAAGCAAACGCGAGGGCAGTTGACAGCCAGGTCAGCTGAGCACTTGTCTAAAAGACTTTCAGAGTCAGAGGACGAGCTTCCACGCTCTCCTATTATCAACCACCTACCTGAGAAGTGACATAGCGTTGATTCAAAAACAGACTTTCACTGTTTGACCGTGTCCAAGCAAGTCGGAAATCGCGTCGCTTTGACGCAGCCAAAATACAAAGGCGAAATTTAATCATGTAGCGAACAAGACCTTACCCTGGAAATCCCACATTTGATAATTCATACGCCGCCTGTACACTGATAAGCATTGTTCTATTGAGTTTTTAAGTGACCACTATTCATCACTTTGACTGTGTGTTCTAAACTATGACCTTGCAGTTTCCATAGTGATCTTTTGATAATATCCAACCTGTTGTTTATTCAGTACTCGTCGCCTATGCTTTGAAACGGCAAGAAGCTGTCGATAGACTGTCCTTACACTTCAGTACCAGTAAAGTCTGCTGTTTATATTTTCCTATCAAGCATGGCTTTTCTTGGACATAAAGCGTTTTAAATAATTTCGAGCCTAGGCAATTTTATCCGCCTTCTATTTAGATAAAAAAAAACCGTTAAAGGTTATGTGGATCAACGGCACTGCAATATTTTTATCGTCATACACTTTTCTGAGGTGGAACTTACAGATTTCGAACATTCGTTTAACATTCCATTAATAGGCTGAAGCTTATTTCAATGAAACAGCAAGGGCTGTATTACGTGCAACTTATGCGTCAATAGGCATTTGCCGTTGACCGAATTAAGGTCACATCCTTTAAAGCGGAAAAGACGACTTAAGCAATTTTGCGGAACGGCTTTGGCAGTAAGACGACGCATGTACGTTCGTTGTTAGGCGTGCATTTTCGAAGCCACCAACTTTACCTGAATTCTGAAAAATATCCTTTTAATTATGCGTCCTGCTTCATCTATTTATACTGTCCTTATAGACTGAACCATATTTTAGAAAATCCAATCATAAAAATACACTTTTGCACATACACAATGTATGCTGTTAAGTTTATCCAAGTCCTACAAAGGAAAAAAACATCTTTTCTATGGATGGAAGCGAATATGCGAATCCCAGGTTCTCGTTGTAAAGAAGATGAAGACCCGATCTCTGGGACAGTGGGTTTATTAGTCTGAGCTTTCGGTCTCGTACAGGAGGCCATCGTCAGAGACTGAGAGAAGGCAACATCAAATGAGTGGTTTTTGTAGTCACGCCATGAAGGGGGGGGGGGAGATATGAGTGCAGAGGGTGGTATTCGCGATAAGTTGCGTCCCACGCCGTCTCACGGTGGCGTGACTGCGTGCACCCTTGGCTGGAAATTGGGTCTCGCCCCTTGGCCGCGGGAACGGAACGCGTGATAGCAGGGGGGTATATCAACGTGCCTGTTGATAGCGTTGGTGTCAGACACCCAGGCCTCTAACAGTTCTCGTCCTGTCTTATTGCTGGCCCGCGCCACTATCCGCGTGCTCGCAAAGTTGAATTCGTGGCCTTCCTCCAGTGTGTGAGTGGCGACCTGAGACAACGAGTCGCCTCTCCGGACCGCCCGTTTGTGCTCCGTTATTCGTGAGCTAAGTCGTCGTCCGGTTTGTCCACTGTAGTGGCGAGGGCAGTCCCGACATGGGATCTGATAGACGACGCCCGATTTTTCACCCACGTCTAGGCGATCCTTCACTTGCATGATTTTGCTGCGCATGGTCGCTGTCGGACGGTGAGCGATACCCAAGCCGTGCTCTCCAGCGAGACGTTCCATCGCTTCGGATACGTTCTTTATATATGGCAGAGGGTGCCAGAGTGTTGGTGGTTCTCCTCCGTTTGTTCGCCGTAGGCGCGTGCGGTGACAGCGGCTGACGAAGCTGCCAGTTGGTCCCCAAGATGCCGAAGTTCTCGTACTCGTCCCTCTGGTTCACTGCAGTGCGTTTTTACCCTCTGGAAGAGTGTCCTAACACAGCTGCGTTTATGCGCCATTGGGTGGTTTCTGTGGTAGTTGAGAATCTGAGTCGTGTTAGTCGCCTTTCTGTACACCGTGGTGTTGAGTTCGCCGTTGGGTGTGCGTGTGACGAGAACGTCAAGGAAAGGCAGCTGTTGGGCATGCTCTTCTTCCCTTGTGAACTGGATGTCTGGGAAGATGCCGTTGAGCAGGTCTTGGAAGTCCGCCAGTCTGCTCCTTCCAATTATGACGAACGTGTCGTCCACGTACCGGCGCCAAAATGCAGGTTCATAGTGGTCGAAGGCGACTTTTTCCAGTTCCTGCAGGACTAGTTCTGCAACCAGGCTGGATATTGGCGAACCCATCGGCGTTCTTTTGATCTGCTCGTATGTTCTGCCATTGAAGGTGAAGAAGGTTTGTTGGCAGAAAGCAAACAGTTGCAGTAAGTGGTCGATTTTTAGGGGTTTATTCGTCTCGTCGTAATTCTCTTCGAGTCGTTTGCGAAGAACGTCGCGTGCCAGGTCCGGTGGGATGGACGTGAATAATGAAACCACGTCAAAGGACACCATGATCTGCTCCGGTCGGACAACTTTTCCTCGGATGTCGGCCAGGAATTGGGAGGCCGAATTGATGGAGGTCCTTGAGCCTTCTCGGAGAAAGTTAAGTTTTCGGGCCATCCACTTGGATAGATTGTAAGTAGGGCTGCCTTTCAAAGCAACGATTGCTCGAAGGGGAACATTGGCTTGTGGATTTTGGGTAATCCATAAAACCGGGCCAGTGCCGTGTCCGTTGGTTTCATCTGTCGCCATTCATGGCGTGACTACAAAAACCACTCATTTGATGTTGCCTTCTCACAGTCTCTGACGATGGCCTCCTGTACGAGACCGAAAGCTCAGACTAATAAACCCACTGTCCCAGAGGTCGGGTCTTCATCTTCTTTACACCTTTTCTATTTTCGGCGCATGATTTGAAAACCTTGACAGTACGCAAAAAGACGAAGGTATTTTGAATGGACACACTCTTCAAAGTTCCAAATAGTTTGTCAGTTAGAGGCAAAATCGTAATTTGCAAACTCTTTGTCAGAACATAAAAAGAACGCTCAACAAATAATTAGTTATTTTTTATTCGGAAAGCTTTGTGCGGATGTCGTTTTGTCACATAAGCGGTAGGTAGATACTACGCTTCACCGCAGGCGGGTTTGCGATCTTAACCAAGAAAGCTTTACATTTTTATGCAACCTATTTATTCGGGTACATGTGCACAAGGTTTCGTACCTTTGTGCAGTTTATACTTTACAATAACGATGAACCATCATTTACCGACCATTATTTATGCTACATTTTAAGCAGTTCCTTGATGTAATTTGGCCCTCATATGGATGCTTGTGGAGTGAAGACTTCGGCGTCCATGGATAGGAGAATATTACCAGCAAAAGGCTGTTCACCATAGTTCTGCCAGTCAAGGCCAAATACTAACAAAAGACCAATTACCTACCGGAGAACACGTCAACCAGCGTGTAAATTGAAGAAAAATATTTAAAGAAACCGATTATTCAAGTCAATAGAACATCTATCAATTTTCAAAAAGAAGACGACGTATCAGTAACCGAAAAGCTGTACAAAGCACCTATGTTGGAGAAACTAGAAGACAACTCCGGACGCGGTTAGCCGAGCACGCGACAGCAACAAGGAGGAAGTACGCCAACTCTCAAGTCGCGGCTCATTTGACGGGAGCCAATCACACATTCATGTTTAACGAAGCAGAAATTCTTGCTAGAGACGACAAGCGCTTGAGCCGTGAACTGCTCGAGTTATGATTTCCAATCCTCATTCAATCAACAATCGCAAAAACGTTGAGACAGTCTAGGCAAAGTAGTTGGCCGCGAGGAGAACATGCGAATAACCACTGTCCTCGGTATCAATGTCGGCGAGCAAAATCATCAAATAGTTCAACCGGATGACGAAATACGATAGTCAGCCACTCGGCGGCGTACGACGAGCGTGGGAGCCGATAATCTTGACCGGCATACAGGGGCATAGCAACGGCATGGCAACGGCATACTTCAACGTCTAGCCAGTCGAGCTATGATGCACTCGGGAGCTACCGACTGTGATAGGCAGCAACTGTAGGCCTAACATCTACATCCTATAAATACGGCAACACTTGGACAATTTACCACCCCTATCTGACTCTGTCTCTGATGGTGCGTTCGAGTGAGAATCCGAAACGTCAGGCTAATAAAGCACCTGTTCCAGCCATCGTGTCTCCTTCTCCGCGATTATTTCCTGGACCTCGCTTCTTTGCTTCTATTAGCAAACTGGTAGGGAAATTACTGAGTTCCCACGGTCAATGCCAGTCGCCCCTCTGATTTATTATCTCGGTGTCGGACATATTCATGTTCAGCTCGACTGAGTGACCGTTGCGGTCCTGAAGGTCCTGATGTCTGCCCCTGATATGATTCGTAACTTGGTCTTACAGCTGCTAAAACGAAGCGAACTATTTTCAAATCAGCACAGACGAAAATGTGACGTTTGATAGTGTCCCATCACCCGCCACTAGCCACATGAACTGGCAGTAATAGCCTCAAGAAACCTACTGTTGAGCGAATGGTCTGAAATGAACAAATGATTTTAACTCATACATATAAATCAGTTGCTCGTTACTATTTAGCTGCCTAGAAGCTGCTATTGTTTGCACGATTGCCAGATTTGTCCTCCACGGCTTTGTCCGCCAGCACCCAGCGTCAAATCAGAAAATTTGCTGTTCGAAAATGACTGTGGACACTGGTTTAATGGACTCATGCGTACTCTACAAAACAAAGGTGTTCTAACTACCGAAATTGCGGCTCCCGTCTAGTCCGTCAATTAAGCTGAAATTTCTCACAGCTACTGTTCATCCCACCTGATCCGGACGCGACTTCAAGTTCGACGAGGCTGAAGTTTTCGACACAGCCGGAGTCACTAGCTGCTTCAGTCATGGACCCACAGCTCGCAGTTCCTTAACAATCTCAAGGTCATCTCCTTGCATATTCAGTATTGTGACTTCGACCAAACAGAGTAGTTAATCGAGCCGGTAGGGCTCGGTCGAATGCCACTTCCAGTGACGGTGTCAGCGAGCCAAATTGCCGAGTAATTGGCGCGCCATTCATCAGCACTGCTGATGAAATCGCGGCAATTAAAAACTCGAATGCGGGCGAACATGTAAACATCGCAACAAGCGCAGCTGTTGACAATGGGCGCATGAGCTGCTAATAATGGTAGGTGTGCACTAGCGTAAAAACAACATCCTACAAGCACTCTACACCCCGTTTTGTCTCTGCTGTGCATCCACGAATTCAGGAGAAGGATGTTCTTGTCCTACTGATTACATCTCCGTTTCCTCAACTGCTGTCTGGTATTCGATTTTTCGCGCTCATATCGGCCCGTTCGACAGTTGTCGCATTAACCATCTTCGACAGTGTTTTTAACTTCAGGAACCGATTACCTTGCAGGGGACATAGTTAACTGACTTTCCAGAATTGAGCACAGAAGCCTATTCACACTGGTGGGAAAAGTACATTTAACTGGAATAAGTATACTGTTGGCTGAACGCTAATGTGTGCTGCCGCTGCTCCTGTCGAAAGGCAGACCCCTACGCGTCCGATACCTAAACTGCTACGCCTTCGTATAGCTTTCAGAACACAACATATCTTACTGCAAAGATGTATAAACCTGGTGCGAATTAATCAAGAAGTTTATTTACCGAACAATCTCTTAAATCCCACTAAAATATCAGAAATTTTAATTACCTGTCTCACTCTCCTCCTCGCTATCGCAATATTGCCTGCAATGCTTTGTTTAGTTCCCGAGGAAGTCGGTGCGCGAACTTGGAGTAAATTCTTCGGAAGAGGACTTTCTGGGCTCGATCCGAAAGTTGATATGAATATTTGAGCTGAAATCCATCAACTACTGCGGAATAACAGCGTAATATTCATAAGTCACCAGCAGACAGCCACTAGTATATAGTTATTCAATTATTTACTATATCGAAAGCATGGGTGCTAGCTAGAAGCCCAGACATGTGTGTTCTGTCGATCATGCGGCGCTGCCTGACCCAGCTGCAAGGGGTTCGGCTCATCAGTGGGTCCCCCAGCCTTCCCCATGCGTTTTCTGGCACACCAGCTCCAGTTTCATCCTGTGTTGTTTAATTTTCGAGGAAATTAATGCGCAACCTTGGAGTTAATTTTTCGGAAAAGGCTTTTTTATGACTTTTCAGGATTCCAACTAAAATATTTGACGAGGTTTGGTTATGCCGCCCCACTTGATTGGTACCATATAGTTAGTGTGCCAAAACAATTTTACTTAACATACCTTACTTAACCACGCGCTGGATTAGGAAGGGAAATAGAGCGCAAGCAGAACTCGAGGTACGCGCAGGGAAGCGAGCGAAGGTGGTGTGTACACACTTCCCCCGACACAACCACTTACTGGATTAAGAGAATATAGGGGTCGCAATCACGATTGGAATGTTGGTTAGGAAGATGCAAATACGTGACATTTTTATATTTGGCGTAATCGAATCTAGCAAATATTTTTCAGAAAGCTGACCATATTATATCGCTCACGTGGGACTGCGGGACCAAATCTTGCCAAATATTCATATCAACTTTCGGGCAAAGCCTGAAAAAGCCTGTGTTGAAGAATTTACTCCAAGTTCGAGCATTCATTTCTGCAGAACTTAAACAAGGCCGGATGAACCTGGAGTTCATGCGCCACAAAACACAGAGGAACGCTGGGGGACCCACTGATGAGCCGACTCCCTCGCAGCTGCGTCAGGCAGCGCCATAAGATCTGAGAGACACACAAGTCAGGCTTTTAGTTGGTATCTGTGCTGTCATTGCAGTGGTTAATTGCATAATTACTTAAAATCTTAACTTGCCATCGAATAAGTGTATTCAACAGGCAGTTTTCCGCAACGAAAATTAAGTTTGGGCACGGAAACATGGGCCCCTGTATTGCAGGAAGCCTTGGGCAAAATTCCAGGGCGCTATATCCCCCTGTCCTAACTTTGAACCTATCCCTGTCAGATGTGGTTATGTAGCCCCAACTTAAATAAACAAACCTCAACCACCCGTAATACGGTACCGGTGGTAATAGGGTTTTTCCAGGTTGGGCCAGTGAACGCACTGGCGACGAAGTCGAGTGGTTGTATACAAAAGAAAAGCTGTTGGGAATTCGCGGTTGTACTTTAAGTGATTGAGAAAAAGTATCCCTAACTCCTAACTCTTACCCCTAACCCTAATCCCTAATCATGACGCCTAATCCTAACCCCTTACCATAGCCGCCAACCCCAAACCCTATCCCTAACCCCAACGCCGGACACTAAACCCCACAGTCCTGTGTCCACCAGGTGTGCTGCATAACCAAATCTTACCCGTACCTCTTCTAAGCCTAACACTAATTCCATCCCCAGCCCTCTTTGGAATTAAGCGCAAGACCGTCCGTAATACGGGGGAGTTCCATGTTACCGTGCCATACCGAAATTGTGAAGATGGTTAGAACACAGCTTTCTCCGAGAATCACAGACGCAGAGCGTGCTGTGAAACAAATGTACGTAAAGGGCGGAGAGAAAACCACATATAGAAATATCGACGGTCCCCTACCGATTTGTTATTCTCCGGTGGAGCAAGTTGTGTAATTCCATCGTTTGCATCGAACGATAACTGCTACTACCTGGAACAATTTATTATTTCAAGGTCGGTCGAGACGTCCGGCCGATCAATGCTGATTATTCCGGACTGTAAGCGAGAGGAAAACGGCCCGTTTTTCACTGATCCAAGGATTGGAGTTCGAGTGCCAGGTCATCTGAAGCTGTGGTTTGGTACGAGTGATAAATTAGAAATAGCCATTCCAGCCTCCCTCGTATTTGCGATATGCCTTACTTTGTAAATGCTGTTTGTCATGCGACTGCTTGTGAAGACAACAGATTTAGCCCCAAGGTTCAATGGAACAAGAATGACCCATAACCCAATCGGTAAACGCCCATACCACGACATAGAATTTCACCTATTCAGTGACTCAGTCTGTCTTATTCGCCTGGAAGGCCAGAAATAAGGATACACGGACTTGTCGGAACATCGAGTACTCGCATAGTCAAGAGACAGCCTGCTATGGCGTTCGGGACTCGTCTCCCTGCTTTTATTGATCAATGCTCAGGCCCAACAACAAGTTGGTTTTGACTACCTTCTAAGTGCGTGAGTCAGT